AGGCTCAGATCCTGGAGTGATACTGCTGACTTCCTGAGGCTCTGAACAGTTCCTGACATGTAGGGGGCCCAAAAGTTCAGTATTTGACACAATTTCAGGTTCAAAGGAAAGAATCCCTAGAGAAGTGGAAGGAGTCAGGCCCTTTCTCCATGTGCTGACAGCAGACACATTTACAATCCCTGTAAGGTGTAAATGGGCAGTGTTTTCTCTACAGCCAGGATGCAGACAGGATACTTGCTCAGACCACTTCTTCATGTTATTCTGGAAGAACTAGTCTGTCTAGTAAAGCAAGGACAAGAAGTAGCCGTAGTCCCTGCTCTTCAAAAGTTCAAGTTCACTTTAGGAAAGGATGACCTGGGCTGGGGAGAGAGAGTTGAAGGTTGGTGTCCAGGCTTCGGGCATGGGAAGTCCTGTTTGGTCTGGCACTGCAAATCCCTCTAATCCCGAGCTGGAGTAGCTTCCAAAATCAAACTGTCAGTAGCACTGTCCTCCCATTGTTCATCGATTTGCTTGAGAGGGCACCAGTAATATCTCCATTGTGAGACTTGTTACTTTTTTTTGGCATATTGAATACACCACGGGGAGTTTGCCAGGCTCTGCCGTCTGGGCGGGATACTCTCGATAGCTTGCCGGACTCTCCGAGAGGGATGAAGGAATCGAACCCGGGTCGGCTGCGTGCAAGGCAAACACCCTACCCGCTGTGCTATCGCTCACCTATTTTATTAACTGCTTTCACTAAATAAGAGGTTTCAAAGAGTATTTCTTTCTAGGACACTTTTTTTCTTTTTGGGTCATACTTGGCAATGAGCAGGGGTTACTCCTGGCTCTGCACTCAGGAATTACTCCTGGTGGTGCTCAGGGAACCACATGGAATGTTGGGAATCAAACATGGGTTGGCCGCGTGCAAAGCAAACACCCTACCCACTGTGCTATTGCTCCAGTCCCTAGGACACATATATTTTTTTTAATGGTGTTGGGTGTTTATTTTTTCGCTGTTATTTTAGAAGTCAGTATACCTGGAAGAGCTGAGGGGTACCACCATACTCTTTCCTTGGGTTCCCTTCATTCAGACTGTGTATTTATCATACCCCTTCTGCTTTGGGGTGAGGGGTGGCTGGGTTTTTGGGCTACACCCAGTGATGCTCAGGGCTTACTTCTGGCTCTCTGCTGAGGGATCACTCCTGGCAGTGCTTGGGGGAACATGTGTGGTGCCAGGGATCTAACCAGGTCAGCTGTATGCACAGTAAGCACTTTAACCTCTGTACTGACTCTCCGGCCCTGAAATGTATGTTTAAACCAACTAGCTTCCTCAAAATAGTCACGAGACTGGGTAAAAGGGAAAACATGTCAGATGTTTTAGAGCAATAACAGAGAGGATGTGAGGGCATCTACTTTGCTTTTTCTTTTGAGTTGTAGGGATGGAACTCAGGTCCTCACATATGTGACCCATGGACTCTACCACTGAGCCATGTCCCAGCCCTTGTTCTTATCTTTAAAACCCCTTGTGAGTTTTATTTTATTTTATTTTATTTTATTTTTTGCTTTTTTGGGTCACACCTGGCAATGCACAGGGGTCACTCCTGACTCTGCACTTAGGAATCATCCCTGGCGGTGCTCAGGGGACCATATGGGATGCTGGGAATTGAACCTGTGTCGTTTGCATGCAAAGCAAATGCCCTACCCGCTGTGCTATCACTCCAGCCACTAAAACCCCTTGTGAGTTTTATACTGGCAGCATAGCTCAGTGCCAGCTATCTCCATATTTTACTTTTATTTTTTGGTTTTTGGATATACCTGGTGGTGCTCAGGGCTTATTCCTGCCTCTGTACTCAAGGATCACTCCTGCTAGATTCAGGGGACCATACGGGCTATGAGGGACCCAACCCAGGTTCAAGGCAAGCACCCTACTTACTACACTATCTCTTTGGCCCATCTAGCTCCATCTTCCCCGCCCTCCCATCTCCATCTTAAAGGGTCTACACAGCCCTTCTGTTCTGCATCTGCCTCACAGTCTGTTAAAGTAGGTAAGGTTGGGACCAGGACATGCCTGGCATATGCAAGGCCTGAGTCCATCCCCAGCGCCACATGGCCCCCTGAGCACTCTGGCCAGCAAGCCATGCTGGAGTAGCCTTGGGAAATTAAAAAAGTAAATAGACTAAATAGGTGACATCACCTCTTAGTAATTGATTGAACACGCAAACTAGGTGGGCCTTGGATGGATCAGGCTGACAAGTGCTGGCTGGCCTACACCCTGTGCTCTCTCCAGTGCACCTGAACCTCCCACCCCCAGAAGCCCTTCACTGCCTGTCAGCTCCCTATCCCTACCCTTCTCCCCTTCCAGTTCCCCACAACCACCCATCTCTCCAACAGAGTGCTCCACAGTGTGCTTCACGGCTGACACGGTGATCACAGACAGGTGCTCTGCCATGCAGTGAGCAGAACTCTTTCTTTTATTTTTTCATTGTTTGGCTTTTGAGATCACACCTGGTAATGCTCAGGACTTGGTTACTCCTGGATCTTCACTCAGGAATTACTCCTGGATCTTCACTCAGGAATTTCTCTTGGCAGTGCTTGGGGGACCAGATGGGGTGCTGGGGATCAAACCCAGGTCGGCTGCATGCCAGGCAAATGCCTCCACCTGCTCTGTACTATTGCTCTGGCCCTGAATATTTTCTTTTAGTGGGAGTGGGTTGGGAGTGATGGTGAAGTGGCTTTCAAATCCCACTTTGCAGGCCATCCTGGGAACTTCATTGACAGAGTAAAGCCATCAGGGCAGGAGAGACAGAACAATGAGTTCAATCCCCGAGCACCACATATAGTCCCCTGAGCCCCACCAAAGTGACTCCTGAGCCAGGAGTAGGCCCTGAGCACTGCAGAATATGGCTCCCAGATCAAAAAAAGAAATGATGCAACGGAAGATGATACTGGGAGGGAGAATGCTGTGGGCACCTGCTTTTTTGCTTCCCTGAATCTCAGGAACACATGCCTGAAGTCGGTGCGGGGATCAGGGCCCAGAGGCCACCTGGCCTCAGTGCTTCCAAGCCTGGCTAGAGGGTCTGGGTCCTGCTGACCTGGCTCAGTTAAATCAGACTCTAATCAGGAGTTAGTACCAAGCTCCTCCCTGCAAGTTGATGGTCCAGCAAACTGAGCCAGAATTGGCATAGCCCAAGGGAACTTTACCTCCCACAGAGGCGGACAGGGTGGAGCTTGGACCCTGACACAAAGGCTTGTGCTGCGTACTGGGCCGAGTCATAGGTAAGGCATTTACCCTGCACGTGGCTAACTCAAGTCCCATCCCTGACCCCAGTCCAATCCCATGAGCTCGGTCCCCCAAGCCCTTCCAGGAGTGACCCCTAAAGACAGAGACAGGAGTAAACCCTAAAGACCACTTGAAATGGCCCAAAAACCCAAACCAAAATAAACAAAAAAAAAATACATAAAGACTGAATATTGGGAGGGGTAGACACCCTGGGGTCATTGGGATAGTGAGAGGTCAGTCAAGTTGACTCAGCAAGAAGGGCTGAGGGGCTGCAGAGATAGAACATTGGGTAGGGCCCTTGCCTTGCATAGGACAGACCTGGGTTCAATCCACCAGCATTCCATATGGTCCTGAGTGCAAAAACAGAAGCAAGCCCTGAGAATCCTAAGGTGAGGCCCAGGAACAGACAAACAAAAAGCAAACAAAGCAAGAGTATTAGGCTAAACCAGGAAGTAATCACTGAGGAAAACCCCAATAATGACACCAGGTGTCATGGACAATGGGCAAGTAATTAATATTTTTCAATTCATCCCTGTCTTTTTTGTCTCTTATCTTTGTTTGTTTGTTTCTGGGCCACACCCAGCAGTGATCAGGGCTTACTTCAGCCTCTGTGCTCAGGGGCCCATATGGGGGGGGCTGGAAATCAAACCAGGGTCTGCTTGGAGCATAGTTAGTACTTTCCATACTATACTATCTCCTCCACCCTGTTTGTTTGTATTTGAGCCACACCAGGGATACTCAGGGAATACTCCAGGCTATGTGTCATTGGTGGGGTCACTCCTGCAGTTTTGGGGGGACTAAGAGGTGCTAGGGATCGGGGCCAGAACAATAGTACAGCGGGTAGGGTGTTTGCTTTGCATGTGGCCAACCTGGGTTTGATCCCTGGCATTCCATATGATCCCCCAAGCACCGAGAGGGGGTAATTCCTGAGTGCAGAGCCAAGAGGAATCCCTGAGTAACATTGGGTGTGACCCAAAAAGCAAAAAAATAAAAAAATTAAGAGGTGACAGGGATCAAAGCTGGCATGTACCCAGCCTGCAGAGCACTCTTCTCTCTCTCTCTCTCTCTCTCTCTCTCTCTCTCTCTCTCTCTCTCAGCCCCTCACCCCATCTTTTTTTTTTTTTTTTGCTTTTGGGTCACACCCAGAGATGCTCAGGGGTTAGTCCTGGCTTTGCACTCAGGAATCACTCCTGGCGGTGCTCGGGGGACCATATGGGATGCTGGAAGTCGAACCCGGGTCGACCGCGTGCAAGGCAAATGCCCTACCCGCTGTGCTATTGCTCCAGCCCCAGCCTCACCCCTTCTTGACTGGCAAATAATGGGCCCACAGGAGAGGTCCACTCCTGGTCCTCACAGAGTACCCCCACTCCCACCCCAGCCCATGGTACCCAAGCCCCATCCAAAGTGAGACTGACCTTTTGCATTTCTAAGGGTCAGCCAAGGACAGGAGAGAGTCACCCACCTCCTCCAAGCCTCCCCTCTGGCTTCTCCAGACACAGTTGATGTTGATATAGCCATCTTTACTGTACCTTTCCAAGAATCAATCATAGCCCGGCTTGGAATGAGCCATTTTGGATCTCATGGGCTGGGCTTGGCAGAATTGGCTCTGTCCTCCGAGCTGGAATTCATGGTCTGGAATACAGATCTCATTCCCAGACACTCCACACCACCCCAAGAATAGGCAGGGGTGGCGATCAGACCCTGTGATTAGATTTTTTATTTCCTGGACTATAGAGTTGGGTCAACCTAGGTCCCTCTGGCTGAACTGCCACATGATGGCATTGAAGAATGTGTTCTTCAACACTTCCTCAGACATATCATCGATGATGCTATCATCAGAGTCCAAAGACGAAGACCTGTAGAAGTTGGTAGAGAAGAGGGAGTTAGCTACATCTTTGGGGGCAGGGGTTGCTGGGAAACTGTTCCAGTCTTTTATTTTTTTTCTTTTTGGGTCACACTCTGCAGTGCACAGGGGTTACTCCTGGATCATGCACTCGGGAATTACTCCTGGCGGTGCTCAGAGGACCATATGGGATGCTGGGAATCGAACCTAGGTCAGCTGCGTGCTTGGCAAATGGCCTGCCCACTGTGCTATTGCTCCAGCCCAATGGTCTTGCCAAGCGCTCCCTGCATTCTTAAGATGTAGGGTTTTCCTACCCCCTCTAGGACCCCACCATGTTTTGCCAGGGTCCTCCCAGATGGGCCAGAATCAGGCTCGTTGCATCTCCAAACTCTGCCATCTCTTCCTTCTTTGGCAGCTTGGAGCTCTGCGGTTCCAACCCTTGCTTTCATGGCTCCCTTCACTGAACACCCACAGCCCTGGAGGAAGGCATAGCTCCACGGCTTTGCTGCACTCAACCTGTGCTTCTCTCATCTTGTACCACAGGAGACGGTGAGAAGACAGCTCGCCCGTGATGACGTGTATGAAAGGCATGTTTGGAACTGGCTGTGACATGCGGCAAATGCCATATATGTTCGCCATTGTCATAACACCTACTCCTTTTTTTTTCTTTTTGGGCCACACCCAGGGATGCTCAGGGGTTGCTCATGGCTTTGCACTCCGGAATTACTCCTGGTGGTATTTGGGGGACCATAAGGGATGCCGGGAAGGGAACTGAACCGGGGTTGGCCGCGTGCAAGGCAAATGCCCTACCCACATGCCCTACCTGCTGTACTATTGCTCCAGCCCAACACTTACTCTTTCATTACATCAATGGAGGAGGAGCTGCAGAGGATCAGGGAACTCCCCCAAACACATGTTAGGAAGTGACCAGTGAGAGAGAAATTCAAGACCTTCGGGGTTCTTTACTATGCTGGGACACCCACATTACTACAACAGACAAATCTCTTCTTCAGCCTTCAAAGCCCCACTCGAATATCACTTCCTCTGTAAAAACCTGTTCCAACTCCCCAAGTTAAAATTCCCTCCTCTTTAGGGCTATGGTAGATTCTTAATCTCTCTGTCAGTGCCCACTGGTGATCCCTGGACTCTTGGATGGGTTTGTTTTTGCTGTTGTGGGGTGGTTTTGGGAGAGGATGTGTGGTGGTCCTTTGGGGCTGCTCCTATGATGGTGAGAGGCTGTTCCTGGCAGGTAACTGCCTGTCTCCTTACAAACTGTGATCTGCTTCAGCGCAGCGACCTCCTACCTCTGGCAGTGCAGTCCAAGCATAATACCTAGAATGAGTCATGCCAGTGGGAACTCGGGGAGACCAGGGAGTGGCAGTGGGACCATGGGGAGAGGCCAGAGGAAGATCTGAGGCAACAATCCGTGGTCTGAGTTGAGGGCACTGAGAGGTGCCAGGTAGCCACTGCCCAGCACAGCCGCCCGCATGCTCCTCTTATCCAGGGAACAGTGACGCACAGGCTCTGGGGGCCCGACTTCCAGAAAGGATGTTTCTGCCCATCAAGAGACTCTCTGTCCGGGGAACTCTGAGGAGACCAGAGACCAGGAGCTGCTCCTGGAGGACCCTGGGCTGCAGGGTTAGGAGTCACCAGACAGGATGCAGGAAAAGCCCTGGATGAGGAACACTGAGCTCAGGGAGGAAAGAAGAGGCCTTCGGAGAGCTGCAAGCCAGTTCCCTGAGTCCTGCAGCAGGGGGAGGCCAGGGTTAGGCACAGGGCTAGGAGCACCTCCCAGGGAAGCACAGGTAGAGCAGGATCTGGCAGAGGCGGGCAGACACTGACCCAGGCGGCATCCCAGGCCCTTCTAGCTAGGGGGCCCAGACAGATGGTGCCTGGCTGGCCAAGGGCTGAAGAACCAGAGCCCGGGGCGGGCAGGGCCCAGAGGCCCATACACCTACCTACTGTATTCTGGCAAATGCTCCAGGAAGTCGTAAGGCTGGTTTTGCACATCTGGCAGCATGCAGCTGACGGACAAGCTTAGGAAGGAGAAGCAGCAGCACAGGAAGTTGGGCAGGAGGCTTCCTATCAGCAGGCTGAGGAGCATGATGGCCGCGATGGCTCCTGTCACGAAGGCCAGCATCACCAGCCCCAGCCCTGTGGCCCTGCAAGGGGGAGTAAAAGCTCATGGGGAAGGGGGGAGGGGAGCTTGTGGGCCCAGAGTCTGGTTGCAGGGAAGACACAGCTCCCCCAGAGTCGCCCCTTATCCCACTCACTGTCCCAACCAGCCACAGTTCATTGTTCTTGCCTTTTCCACCCTCCCTCTCCCCACTCTTGATTTTAGGCTTGACAGTGCTCAGCTCAGTCAGTGCTTGGGGTTTGCCTCTTGAGGACCATGTGGAGTTGGGGATTGGAACCTGGGATCAGGGACTAGACATGCAGGAAAGGGGTTAAGACACTGCCCTGCACACAGCCAGCCCAGGTTTGCTCCCCGGCACCACCTGCCAGGAGTGAGCCCTGAGCACAGAGCTGGGAGTGATCCCTGAGCACAGAGCCAGGAATGACCCCTGAGCATAGAACAAGGAGTGATCCCTGAGCACAGCCAGATTCCTTCCCCCCCCCTCCAAAAATAAATTTGCTCAAGCAGGCCCCATAACGTCTCCATCGTGAGACTTGTTGTTACTGTGTTTGGCATATTGAATACGTCACGGGGAGCTTGCCAGGCTTTGCCGTGCGGGCGAGATACTCTCAGTAGCTTGCCGGGCTCTCTGAGGGGGCAGAGGAATCGAACCCGGCTTGGCCGGGCCGGCTGTGCGCAAGGCAAACGCCCTACCGCTGTTACCCCAGTTCTTTGTATGATCTCCCTAAGTCCCTAGCAGGTAATCACTTTTTTCTTCTGGGGCCAAACCCAGAAGTATTTGGGGTCTATTCCTGGCTTTGTGCTAAGGAGAGGCTGTGGTGGTGTTCAGGGGGCCATACGTGGTGCCAGGGATCCATGGCAAGCAAGGCCAGCACTTTACCCCCTGGACAATCTCTTGGGTCTGCAGATAGTTATATCTCTGGGGCCTTCAATCTGGGCTGAGAAGGGAGAAGTTGGGACCACCCAGCGCTGAGTGTGTGTGTGTGTGTGTGTGTGTGTGTGTGTGTGTGTGTGTGTGTGTGTAGGTGAGGGTTGCCATGTAGACACTGGCTGGGCAGGAAGGATGCCGCTGCCCTCACCAAGGCCCTGAGCTGCATTTGGACCCTGAGCACAGCAGCAACAGCTTATCCCATTTCCTCGTCAGAACCAGGCAAAAGGCAGGCATTGGGAAGACTTGGGGCTGGTGAAGGTCCAACAGGGTGATACATGGCAACCACTTAGCGCAGCGCTGGTCATCAGAAGGCCCCACCAGAGCCACTGGGGTTCTTCTTGGCCCCATCCTGCTCCCCACAGCCCCTGCAGCGCTTGCCCACCCAGGCCTGTACCTGAGGACAGTGGGTAACAGCTCAGAGGAGTAGATGAAGAACACAGTGATGGTGGTGGCCTGGAGGAGCTGTCCGATGAAGAGCAGCAAGAGCAGTGTGGTTTTCGACTCTGCAGCGAGATACGGCGTCCCTGAGTCTGAGGGCTCCCACGTGGGCTCGGCACAGTCAGACACTCAGTTCTAGGGGTCCATCTACCCACGTCCCACCAGGCACATCTCAATGAGAGAGCAGGGGGTGGACAATCAGAGGGGTCAAGAGCCACAGAGAAGGCTGCCCAGCACGAGGATGACACACCACCCCAAGCCCTAATCTCCGGGTGCCCGGGAGGGCACCAGCACCCGTCTAGTCTTGGGAATCCCCCCCAAGTCCCCTCTGTTGGCAGAGGACAGTGCTCTAGAGGCTCCGAAGCCTCTAGAGGGTGGGTGCACACTGACTCCCACAGTGGGGGCCTCGTAGGCTGGCTGGGGATGGAGGGGAGAAGGGAGAAGGGGTTTCACCTGATGGGATGATAAGGATGAGTATGCTCAGAAGACAGCCTTGCGTGAACATGATGCCCAGGCTGAGCTTCCTCCCTATCTTCTCCAAAAGGATGATGCAGCTCAGCTGTGCGGGCACCTTCATGAGTCCAGAGATCAAGAAGGTGAGGTACTTGTTCATGGTCAGATCATTCATCTTCAGTATCATTGTGAAGTAGTTGAAGCTGATAGAAAACCTAGCATGCCAACGGGAGAGGAATCAGACATGGACACAGGCGTACATGTGCACACACATACAAACATACCTACCTATACGCATCTGTACACAAACACATTCACCTACCTACACACATACTCAAAGAACCAAACGCATAGCAATAAACACCCACAGACACATACACACCTGTACGTAAGCATACACACCTGTACGTAAGCACACACATACATATACACAAGCACATACCTAATACATACATGCATACATGCACACACATACCTACAAATACCTACACTCACATCACTTAATCACTTAATCACTTAATCCCTGTTATTCATCGATTTACTCGAGTGGGTGCCAGTAACGTCTCCATTCATCCCGGTTGCGTGCTAGCGTAGCCCAATGGTATCTGTTCGTTCTAGGAACATGCAGAGCCTCAAACCCATCATTCAGGGTCTTGACGAAGAAGTCTGACCATCTTGTAGGTGGGCGTCCACGTGATCTTTTGATGTACCGTGGAATTCAATCAGTAATGGCTCTAGTCCAGTGGTTGTCTGTAAACCTCATTACGTGTCCAGCCCATCTGATTTTTGATGTCTTGGCAAATGAGACAGCGTCCCTGATTCTTGAGCGTTGACGAAGATCAGAACTCCAGATTCTATCTCTCATTTGAGTGAATCGTGATATTCCAAGCATAGCTCTTTCGATTCCTCTTTGAGAGACCCGAATAGCGTTCTCATCCTGTTTTCGTAGGGTCCAGGTCTCTGAGGCATATGTTAATGCAGGAAGAACAGTGGAATCGAAGAGATGTGCTCATAGCTGGAGGTTCTTTGTCCTTTTAGTTATTTCTTCAACGTTCTTGAAGGCATTCCAAGCCGCTCTCTTCCTCCTGCGCCACTCAGGTGCCAGGTCATTCATCATGTTGATTTCTCGACCTAGGTATATATAACTGTTGCATTTGGAGATGGTGGTTCTGTTGAGAGCGAATGGAGCATCAGGAACAAGGCTGTTTCTCATAAACATTGTCTTCGCAAGATTCAGCTGTAGTTCGACCTTTCCACATTCATGGTCAAAGTCATTCAGCATTTGTGCCGCTTGGCTGATTGATGTTTGGTGTTATTAGAACGATGTCATCAGCAAAGCGGAGGTGGTGTAGTTGCCGACCATCTATCTTCTCCCATGCTTTCCCATTCCAGTCGTTGCATGATGTTCTCGAGGGTGGCACTGAAGAGTTTTGGTGAAATGGTATCACCCCGCCGAACCCCTCTCTTGATATGGATGATTACACTCACATACCTGTCCACATATGCACATATGCACTTATACACATACTCAGACTTATGTACATATGCTCACATATCTATATACATGCCTGTCCACACTCATACACATGTGTACACTTAAACACATGCACATATTTACAGGCACACAATCTATACACACCCACACACTCACAGATGTGTATGCACAGTCAGATGCATGCACAATGCTTAAACACATATACATATGCATATTTGCATGTATGTACATAAATGTGCACACACATGGTGTATAGCCACACACATGCTCAGACTCATATGTGCACAATACATACACAGGCACCTATATACATACATATAACCTACACACTCACACACCTGTCCACGCTCACAGTCACGTACAGGTATACATGCACACACAGACCCAAAGTGAGGGAGTGAGGACAACGGGCAGAGGTGAGAGGGTAACAGGCAGGGCTGGAGGACAGAAGCAAGCAGGGCCTTTGGGTCTGTGGGTTGAGCTTGGTTCCACAGGCCTGTGCCCTGCAGCCCACTTCGGGGGCTCACCAGGCGCAGAGGAGCACCAGGATCACCTTACGGAGGTAATTACAGTTGTAGAAGTCCATGATAGATCCACTGGCCCCAGGCTTTCTGGGCAGGTGAAGCTATGGGATAGGAAGGAGCACTCAGAGGCAGGGCTGGGACCCCAGCTTCTCCCCCCAGGGCTCTCACTTGTCAGCATTCTCAAGCTTCCTGTAGACCAAGTTCCCATGTGCAAGGGAGGAGAGAAAGTCTCCTCAGCCCCTTAGCCCTCCAGTCTCCTCAGTTCCTCAGCTCCCCTCAGTTCCCCAGCCTCCTCAACCCCTCAGCCCCCTCAACCCCTCAGCCCCCTCAACCCCTCAGCACCCTCAACCCCTCAGCACCCTTAACCCCTCAGCATCCTTAGCACCCCCAGTACCCTCATCACCTTTAGCCTTCCAGCCCCTCAGCCCCCTCAGCCCCCTCAGCCTCTTAGCTCCCTCAGCCCATCAGTCCCCTCAGCTTCCTCAGCGTCTCAACACCCTAAACCTCTCAGCCCCCTTACCTTCCTCAGCCTCTCAGCCCCCTCAGCTCCCTTAGTTCCCCCTGAGCCTCTCAGCCCTTCAGCACCCTCAGTTTCCTCAGCTCCCTTAGCCTCTCAACACCCTCAGATCCCTCAGTTCCCCCTGAGCCTCTCAGCTCCCTCAGCCCCTCAGCCCACACTCACCTTCATCATCAGTGTCTCTGGAATGACTGTGCCATTGACCAGGGCGGCCTGGTGCAGCACTTTCTTCGCCTCATCCACTTTTCCTCTCACCATCAGCCACCGGGGGGACTTGGGGAGAAACCTTTGAGCCCCGCTTGGTCAGCCATCCTCTTAGGAGGCCCCAGAGACCCCTCCCCGGCTACAGCTGCCCTAGTTGTAGGGGACAAAGCTGAAGAGACCGTATAGTGTTTGTGGGCACTGAGGTGCCCCTGCCCTAGTCACTCATGGTCACCCTGACACTGGCTGCCTTTGCCATGGTTCCCCGTCCCCCGCTGGAAACGCTCAGCTGCTCTCAGGGGTTGTCCCCCGTGGCCTTCGCTGGGGCCAAACTTCTCCCTGAGCTGGTGTCTGAGTGAAACCCTAAGCTTAACTCTTCCTACTGAACAGCAGCTATTCTGACCCGACTCAACCCCACATCTCCCTTGCCATGTCCCTCTTGCCTGAACCCAAAACTACTCTGGACCCTTAGCTCAGAGTCCTCTGAGGCCATTGGAATTCACAGAAGCCCATGGAAGGATCACTGAGGGGCACTGTGCACAGCAAGTCCCCAATATGGACTTACTTCCAATATGGATAACCTAATTTAGTCCCTGACATAACTGTCTCACTGTACTCCCAGCCTTGGGCAGTGAAGACTTGGCCAAGGCCACCAAGACAGAGCAGAGTGCCTCTCTCTCTCTCTCTCTCTCTCTCTCTCTCTCTCTCTCTCTCTCTCTCTCTCTCCTCTCTCTCCTCTCTCTCATTCTCCTCTCTCCTCACCCTCTCTTCCCGATCCTCCCGTTGTTCATCGATTTGCTCGAGCGGGCCCAGTAAAGTCTCCACTGGAGACTTTGTTGTTACTGTGTCTGGCATATCGAATACATCACGGGTAGCTTGCCAGGTTCTGCCATGCAGGCGAGATCCTCTCGGTAGCTTGCCGGGCTCTCCGAGAGGGGCAGAGGAATTGAACTCACGTCGGCCATGTTGGCTGTGTGCAAGGCAAACGCCCTACCCGCTGTGCTATCACTCCTCAAATATTTGTTTTTATTTTGAGCCACAGCCAGTGCTACTCAATGACTTGCAGCTTATTGCTGAGTGATTGCTCCTGAGGGTGCTTGGGGGACCAGGTAATGCTAGGAATCAAACCCAGGACTCCTGCTTGAAAACTGTGCTCCATGGGGCCAGAGCAATAGTATAGCAGGTAGGGTGTTTGTCTTCCACAGTGCCAACCCAGGTTTGATTGCTGGCACCCATATGGTCCCTCAGCACCGCCAGGAGAGATCTCTGAGTGCAGAGTCAAGAGTAGGCCCCTAGCAACACTGGGTGTAACCTAAAAAGCCAAAAAGGAAAAAAAAAAAGTGACGAGAAGTCAGCCCTGAGAACTGCTGGTGTGCTCCCCCCCCAAAAAAAAAGAAAATCATCAAAGGGTTTAAGCTGTCACTCAGTGACAGCAAGGTGTCAGCAAGGTGTCACTGAGTGACACCTTGCTGACACACGCATGCATGTGTGAAGCCCAAGATTCAATCTCTGGCACTTAAAAGGGAGAGAGAGAGAGAGAGAGAGAGAGAGAGAGAGAGAGAGACAGACAGACAGACAGACAGAGACAGAGAAAGAGAGAGAGAGAATAGTCATTGAATAGGGGGAAAAAGGGGTTATATAACTTTATTCAAACAGATAGGTAGGAGGTCAGAGAGAGGCAGAACAGGGTTAATACAGGGGTAAAGCACCTTAGTTCAATCCCCTGTAGGACATATGTTTCCCCAAGCACTACCAGAGAAACCCCTGAGCACAGAGCCAGCAGCTCTTCTGGCTGTGGCCCCAGAATAAAAAGATGGGAGGGAGCTGGAGATGTAGCTCAGAGAAGAGCACTAGCCTTGCATGTGTGAGGCCCTGGCTTTGATCTCTGGCACCACAAAAAAAGATAGTTGGGTCAAGGGTTAGTCCAGCCTTAATGGGTCAGCCTTCTAGGCAGAAAGCCTTGAGTCTAACCCTTGGTGTCACCCCAATGGCGTCCGGCTGGGGATTGCCAGCACCACAGTCTCATTGTGTGACCTCCCACCCTCCACCGTCACAACCACCGCAAGGCAAAGGGAAGGGGGATGAAAACAGAAAAGATGAGGGGCTAACCCGAGCCCACTGTCAAGGAGAGGAATGAAAAAGAGGCCAGGAGTGTGGGAGAGAGAATGGAGGGGAAAGAAGAGTGGGCTGGCTTTGCTGGCAGTCACCCCTAGGGGTGCTGGGGGCTACTAGGGCACCACCTGGGGCTACTAGAGGTGATGTTGGGGACTGAAGCAGGCTGGGCATGTGCTCCAGTGCTGTGAGCAGTCTCCAGCCTCTGCCTCTCCTCAGTCTCGGACCCTGACACACTCAGAGATTCTGGAAACTCAGGGCTTGGTACCTGGTGAGAGATTCCCCACCCACCCCCCACCCCCACACCGCACACACACACACACTGCAAAGAGAATCCGGCCTCCTGCTGTCTTGAAGACATGCCACTTGCTGGGGAAGAGACCTCTGCAGAGAGAGGCTGAGCTGCTAAAGACAGGAGCTGGGTAGCTCTGCACCCTCCCACTCCCTCTAACTACCTGCTTCTTCTTGTTTCTTTTTTAGCCAACCCCGGCTATGCTCAGGCCTGACTCCTGCTTTTGTGCTCAGGGCTGACTCCTGGTGGGGCTCGGGGTGGGGATGGGGGGAGCCATATGCAATGTCAGGTCTGCTGCGTGCAAATGCCATCAGCGATGTACTAACGCTCCGGCCCTGTCTGCCTTCTCTTCGGCTTCTCTCTGCTGCCACCTGCCAGGCTCGCAGGGCCATCTGCCCTGTCTCATAACTCCCAGAACACCTCCAGGGGTGCCTCCCACCCCCATTGCCTCGTCAGAGCACCAATATTTGGGGCTCTCAACCCTCCCTCACCTTCCCCCCCAGCCCCCCACCCCAACCTAGTCAGAACCCTCAGCCCCTTTCCTGACTGTCTAAGCTGCTCAGAGAATTTCTCACTTTTCTTCCCACCTCAGTCCTCCCCTGCTCAAGAGCCAACGCCAATCCCAACCTCTCCTCTACCTCAGGGCCACCGAGGCCAAGACACTTCCCAGGGCTGAGAGATAGGGCAGCAGGGAAGAAACTTGCCAACCCTGGTTCCACCCGTGGCACCAGGAGTGACCCCTGAGCACAGAATCAGGAGTCAGCCCTGAGCACTGCTAGGTGGAGCCGAGGTCACCCTGCAATGGCCCCTGCCCACTCCCCATTCCATGCCGTCCTCATGTCCTCCCTCTCCACACATTCTTTTGGCTGCCTGTTCACTTCCCAGACTTGTCTTTGGGGGCTCTTCTGAGGTTCTAAAGGCTCTTTCTCATCCTATCAAGGCGGGGGGGTTGTCTCTCCACTCCCATCCTTTCAAAGGTTCTTCTCTCCCTCCAGCTCGCCGGCTCACCAGATGTAGAAGAGGAGCAGGAACACGGGCATGCTGCCAATCAGGAACAGAAGCCGCCAGTGCGGCAGCATGTGGGCGAGCCCCGCCAGATAGATGCTCCCAACGGAGAAGAAGCAGAACTTCAGGACGACGGCGTGGATCAGGTGATGGTTCACCAGCCACTCAGTGGCTGCTCAGGAACGAGAGACAACATCCCCGCACCCAGTCTTTGGGTGTTCCTGTCCCACTCTGTCCTTGGGCCCGCTTGAGGGGCTCCACTCAGACACAGCCCTGAAAGTCTGTGCTGTCTGCGCTCTCCAAGGCACACCTGGGATGTCCGGGTTGCTCCCTGGTATCTAGGAAACCTCCAGTCCTCTCCACCTGCTGTTGCTCAATATCCACCTCCTTCTCTGTGCTCCCCCCACATGGTTCAGGGATGACACCTTCTGGGCAGCCCCTGCCCTGCCCTGGGCCACTGTCCCTGTGTTTGGGGACATGTGACCATGCTCAACCCAGGGCTTCGTGGGGGACCCCATTCCTTCAGGCTGGGCTCTGGATCCTGTCCACCAGGAGAATGTCCTGCCAGGGGCCTGAGCCCCCAGGTGGAGGCTCTTGGAAGGCTGGGTCTGGGGGCCCCAGGAGACCAGGAAAGCTAATGGCACTCATGCATGTGGGATGTGGTGGGCGTGTGTGCATACGTGTGTGTGCATATACATACATATGTGCATGTGTGCACGTGTGCAGGTGTGGTGTGTGCATGAGTGTGCATGTGTGTGGTGTGTGTGCATATGGTGAGTGCGTGTATGTGCTTGTATGTGTGCATGTGTGTGTGCATGTGGCGTGTGCGTGTATGTGCTTGTATGTGCACATGTGGTATGTGTGCATGTGTGTGTACATGTTTATGTGTGTGTGTGTGTGTGCTCACAAGTGTGTAGGAACTCCCAGTTCTCACATAACTGCTGTGCGACCCTGAGCAAGTCACTCCTGAGGCTTGAGAGGCCCCTCCGTGAGCAGTAGGACCAAAAGTGTCTGCTAGGAGGATGCCCAGGGGATGGGTGAAGCGACCACCCCCACTACGACCCCCACAGGTGCCTGCTCCGAGTCCTGATGTGGAGTGGGATGCAGAGTGTGAGGGGTTTGGGGAAAGGAGGATGGAAGGAGAGCCTGACCCCAGGTTTTCTAGCTCCGCTGGTGAAGGAGAGGTGCCCGCAACCCTCATGCCAGTCCCCACCTTGGACCCTTACCAAGAGACAAACTGCTGATGATGTAGCCCATCACGGCTTGGCACACGCAGAAGCGGAAGAAGAGATACTGGTGGAAAGTGCTGACAAAAGCCGTTCCGAAGCCAAAGACCGTCAGCCCGAGGAGTGACATCAGGAAGGTGGTATAGCGACCCAGCCTGCAGGTAATGATCAGGCCTGCCCCAAGCGCATGGACCTCTGTGGCCATCCTCAGCTGGTACCCTCTGGTCAGGTCCTGAACCCTCCCACAGGCACTCCCCCCCCCCCCGCCCCAGGACCCCTAAACCTCACCTCCCCCCAGCGGGAGACACGAGTTCTAAAGGTCCAGGAGGCAGGAGCAGGGCCCTGGGGGACTCCAGGAAACTCACTTGTCGCTGGAGATCCCGAAGACAATGGACCCGATGAGCACCCCTGCCAGGAGCATGGTATGCACGCTGTCGATGTGTGACTCCTTGCCGCACACCAAGTCAAACTGGGGGTGGTGCACGGGGATTGGCCATGAGCCTCCACGCAGAGCCGCCCCCCGCACCCCCTGGCACCAGACACCCACTGCTGCCCCACGGCTGGGCCTGGCTGCAGAAGGGGCCTGGGGCAGGCAGCCCGTGGACAGTGGGCCTGGCTCTGCACTCTCTGGGGCAGAGAGCTGCGGAGTGCGGGACAAGACGGGTGGAGGCAGAGTGGAGATTCATTCAAGGCTTCTTCAAGAGACACCCCAAAAACAAAGTTGGGCCCTCTCCCAGAGCTTCAAACAGGGCAGGTCTGTAGAGTGAAAGTTGAAACACCCACTCCAGACACCCATTCAAAGCTGCTTCTGCCTCCAATTCTTTATATTTTGTTTTCTTATTTTTTGGTCCATACCCAGTAGTGCTCAGGGCTTACTCCTGGCTCTGCACTCAAGAATCACTCCTGGTGGAGCTGGAGGACCATATGGAATGCTGGGGATCAAACCCAGGTTGGCCACATGCAAAGCAAATGGCCTACCTGCTGTCCTATCTCCCCAGTCCCTCCAATTCTTATTTTCTTTCAAAACCATTTTTGGTGGGAAGAGGCACAAAGGGGCAGTTTGGAGCCACATCTGGCAGCACTCAGGGGCTATTTCTGACTCTGTTCTCAGGGATCCCTCCTAGCGGTGTTAAGTTCATCAAATGTGATGCCGGGTTTTTCCAAATGCAAATCCAACACTTTACCCCTGGACATACTCTCTCTGGCTCCTTCTCTGGATGTAGAAGACAGCCGCAGGAAAAATACCCTAGGCAGAGAGCAGCTCCCATCACTGATGCCTGTGCTTATCCCCGAGTCCACTCCAGCTTCCTGACTGAGACAGGTATACCCAGGGATGGGCCTGTTTCTCTGCAGTGATGGGGCTGAGGGCAATTGTTTGCCTTCCCTTCTCTGTTTTCCTCCACCAGTTTAGGGATGGCACATTTCTGGGCCCGTGGAGGTAATTAAAGACATATATAAAGTAACAAAGTAGGAGACTAACATCCAAGAATAGTCGAGATAAGTACCAGGAGGTTCACTCCATGGCTTGGAGGCCAGCCGCACATGCTAGGGGGAAAGGCGGCTCAGATAGAGAAGGGAGCACCAAGTAAAGGGTGTTGGGAGGATCCTCCCAGGATGGGAGATGCATCCTGAAAGTAGACTATAGACTGAGCAAGATTGCCATTCAATGCCTCTTTTGCAAACCACAGCACCCAAAAGGAGAGAGAGGACAAAAGGGAATGCCCTGCCACAGAGGCAGGGTGGGATGGGGGGATGGGGGGGTGGGAGAGATACTGGGACCATTAGTGATGGAGAATGGGCACTGGTGAAGGGATGGGTTCTCGATTATTGTATAACTGAAACCCAAGCAAAAAACTTGTAAGTCTACAACTGTACCTTATGGTGTTTCACTAATAAAATTTTTTTAAAATTAAAAATATAAAGACAATGTGGCAACAAACACATTTCATTGCCCTTACCTCACTGATTAGCGAGCGCCTCTTGGCCTTAGGGTAGATCCATCCTTCTTGACAGGGCTGGGTGTCGTTGATGTTAGATTGGGAGGTGACTTTTGTCTTGATGAAGTCAGGAGAGAACATGAGGCAGGTAAGGAACTCACCTTTATCATCTTTGGGCAAGGTCATATGCATCAGTTGACTCACGGTCAGATTGGGGTAGAAAGCCAGAAGCCAGCTAGTATTGCAATAGGGCTGCTGGATAGTGAAAACAAAATTGTCAGCATGAAGGAAGAAGGCTGACAGGATGCTGGGGATGAAGGTTAAAGCCACCAGCCTCTGCTGGAAGGGGCCAAACTCCCCCACAGTGCTCAGGATGTCAGTCAGCTTGTCATCCAACTTGCTGGCCCCAGTACTCAGTTTACGAATCAGCAGGTCAAGGGAATGGGAACGGATGCGTCTTGGGTTAACAGGATACGCTGAGTCTATGGAAGCAGTCCGGGACTCAGATGCTTCCCGAGAGTTGCGTTTGCTTCCCATCTGTTTAAAAGAAAAAAGAAAAGATTGCAGCACAGTCCCGTCACTTTCCAGACGTCAGCGCCCACCACAGGCACCACTGACCAGACTTGGGCTTCTCTGGCTTGGAACAACACAGATTCCAACTGTGCTACTCATTGTTTGAAATGTAATCACGAAAATTTGTAGCTCTGTAACTGTGTCTCACGATGATTCATTAAAATTATATTCATTAAAATCATATATATACATACATATTGTATTGTGGATTATTAATAATATATTGTATTACTGTATTGTGGATTCACTACCAGGATCTTACCATTCTACAGGGAGGTGATCATTGACATCAAGAGAGTTCGTGGGGGTACGGTGCCGCCAGCAGGGCACTCTGTACCTGTGAGGCGAGTGCATCAGGAGCCTGATGGTTCCTTCAGACTTCCAGATACCCCAAACTTGCTGTTGTGCCTTGGCCAGACCCCAAAACTTGGGCAAAGTTTACCAAGAAAGTAAAGGGCCAAAAGTTAGGTATGTGGGAGACACACCCACAAACCACCTCCGGCTAAGCTATATAATTGGAGGCACGTCCTCTCTGGTTCCTGATTGAACTGCTTAACGGCCATGATCCCAGAGACTCAGAAACAAATCTCAAAACCCAACGGCTTTTGGCAGAAATGTGTTCAGTCTATGCAGTGGGTTGCAGGCACTGGGCCACCCCAGGTGGGAATAGGTTTCGTGCCTTGGCCTGTTCCCCCTGGCGGCCCATTGGCCGCCATCATCCAGAGGCCACTGGACAGTCAGGTTTGGGCCCATAGTGACGAGACACACGGGGGCTCACGGGATGGGGGTGGAACTGGCCCTTTCCTTCCCATCCCAACGAGACCTCGGGTCACCATTCACAAACGGCCTCTCTGGCTCCTGATCAAGCTTCTTAACGGCCATGATCCAGAGACTCAGAAACAAACCTTGAAACCCAGCGGCTTTTGGTAGAAATGCATCCGGACCCTGCAGTAAGTTACTGTCGCCGGGCCACCCCAGGGAGGAAAGGGTGCTGTCCCTCCACCTGCTCCCCCTTGGCGGCTCGGTGGCTGCCATCTGCCAGAGGCCATTGGACAGTCAGGTTTGGGCCCGCAGTGACAAGACACGTGGGGCCTCACAGGATGGGGGTGGAGCTGGCCCTTTCCTCCCTGTCCCAATGAGACCCTGAGTCGCCGCCCATGAACGGCCTTTCTGGCTCCTAATCAAGCTGTTTAACGGCCATGATCCCAGAGACTCAGGAACAAATCTCAGAACTGAGCAGGGTTTGGCAGAAATCCCTCCAGATTTAATTGTTAAAACTTCAGAATTCCAAAATCGCGTGGCCACTACTGTAGCCACGCAACACCATATGTTACGCATAACCAGCAATAGAAAACAAATTGTCTACTGTTGCCTTTTCAGCAGATCTAAGTGTTGGGGTAAAATCCCAAATAATATGGTGGGTCTGGTGTCGAAATATTGAATGTAATCAAAGTAGAAAGAGAGTAATTTGGAAATCATCTGCCCCATGGGTACGGAGAGGGTATGGGATGGGGGTATAATGGAGTTTTTGGGGGTGGAGAATGGGCACTGGTGAAGGTATGGGTGTTTCATTGTATGACCAAGACTTAAACCCGAAAGCTTTGTAACTGCTCTCATGGTGATCCAATAAATAAAATTATAAAAAATGGGGGGAAAAAGAGAGGGGTTCAGCAGGGTGATACCATTTCACCGAAACTCTTCAATGCCACCCTCAGAACATCATGGGATGACTGGAATGGGAAGGAATGGGAGTGAAGATAGATGGTCAGCAACTACACCACCTCTGCTTCACTGATGATATCGCTCTTATAACACCAAACATCAGCCAAGCGGCACAAATGCTGGCCGACTTCGACCGTGAGTGTGGAAAGGTCGGACTACAGCTGAATCTCACAAAGACAATGTTTATGAGAAACGGTTTCGTTCCTGACGTTCCATTCACTCTCAATGGGACAAACATCTCTGAATGCAAGTTATGTGTACCTAGGTCGAGAAGTCAACTTGATGAATAACCTGGCACCTGAGTTGTGCAGGAGGAAGGGAGAGGCTTGGAACGCCTTCAAGAACATCGAAGAAATCGCTAAGAGGACAAAGAACCTCCGGCTCTGGGCACATCTCTTCGATTCCACTGTTCTTCTTGCATTAATATATGCCTCAGCGACCTGGGCCCTACGCAAACAGGATGAGAACACTATTCGGGTCTCCCAAAGAGGAATCGAAAGAACTATGTTTGGAGTATCATGCTTCACTCAAATGAGAGAAAGAATCATGAGTTCCGACCTCCATCGATGGTCAAGAACTCGGGAAGCTGTCTCGTTTGCCAGGGTGTCAAAAATCAGATGGGCTGGACACGTAATGAGATTTGGAGACAACCGCTGGACTAGAGCCGTTACCGACTGGATTCCACGGGACATCAAAAGATCGCGTGGCCGCCCACCTATGAGATGATCAGACTTCTTCGTCAAGACCCTGAATTATCGGTTTGAGGCTCTTCGTGTTCCTAGAACGAGCAGACACCATTGGGCTACATTAGCATGCGACAGGGACAAATGGAGATGTTACTGGGGCCCGTTCAAGCAAATCGATGAGTAATGGGATGTCAAGTGATCAAGTGATATATATATTTGTAACTTTTTAAAAAAAATTTGGATCAGGGTGACCAGGAGTGAAGATCAAAGTCGATGGTGTGAAGTATTGGAGCTGGGGTGGGGAACCGAGGGACCCTGACATTGAGAGATGATGTACAGCAGCACAGAGCCAAGTCGGCAAGTAGATGTGGTGGGGGTTGGGGTCAAGGGAACACAAGCAGCCCAAAAGATATTACCTTGCAATAGCAGCAACGAAGGAAAACTAAGCATAAAACTCAGTTATGAGGGGATGGAGCCATAGCACAAAGGGTTGGGCGCTTCCTGGGTTCAATTCCCAGCATCCCATATGGTCACCCCTACACCGCCAGGAGTAATTCCTGAGTGCAGAGCCAGGAGTAAACCCTGAGCACCACTCAGTGTGGCTCCCAAACCAAACAATAACAACAACAACAACAACAACAGACCTCTGAGGGGCATGAAGAGGTGTAGGCGAGGGGACTCCTTGGCTACCACTGGAAGCAGAAGCAAGAGACAAGCCTTCTCCAAAGGAAAATGTCTCCAAGAAAAGCCTACAATACTCTCCCAGAGATAAGTGGAAGTCTAACTAAAGACACTGGGCTGGTGAGATAGTACACAAGGTAAGTTTTTGCCTTGCATGCAGCTGATCGAGGTGCCCCAGCACAGAGCATGGCTGCGTATGCCCCCCAAAGCAACAGATGAATAAACGTGCTCCTTCTTAAACAACATCGATGACAACAATAACAAAATGGGCCAGAGCAATAATATAATAGGTAAAGCATTTGCCTTGCAGGAGGCAGCCCGGGTTTGGTTCCTGGCACTGCTTATGATTTCCCGAGCACCACCAGGCGTGATCAGTGAATGCAGAGCCAGGAGTGAGCCCTGAGAACCGCTTGATGGGGGCCCCCCTCATCCAACATAAATAAATAAACAAAATCCAAATAAATTATATATTCCTTCTTAATCAAAACAAAAACAGGGGCCAGTGCAGCAATAGTACAGTAGGTAAGGCATTAGCCTTGCACAAGGCAGAACCTGGGTTTGATCCCAGCATCCCATATGGTCTCCCAAGCACCACCAGGAGTAATTCCTAAGTGAAGAGCCTGGAGTAATCCCTGAGCATCGCTGGGTGTGTCCCAAAAAAGCCACAAACAAAACAAAACAAAGATGACCCAACAATAAGAAGGCAAGAGCTGCTGAGTGTCTACAGAAAAAAAGAAATCATAGATTTAGACAACCAATGTTGAACATGTCAAAGGAGAGAAAGCTATCACACACGTAAAACATTTTTGTTGTTGTTTTTATTTTGGTCACACCCAATAATACACAGGGGAAACTCCTGGCTCTGCATTCAGGAATTACTCCTAGCAGTGCTCAAGGGACCATATGGGATGCTGGAGATCAAACCTAGGCCGGCTGCACGTAGAGCAAGCCTGTTGGACTATCTCTAATTTCATACAAATGTTTGAAAGAAAACAAAGTTATGGGGCTGGAGTGATAGCATAGAGGGTAGGGTGTTTGCCTTGCACATGGCCAACCCGGGTTCAATTTCCAGCATAGCATCCCATATAGTCCCCTGAGCACCGCCAGGAGTAATTCCTGAGTGCAGAGGCAGGAGTAACCCCTATGCATCGCCAGGTGTGACCCAAAAAGAAAAAAAACTAATTAAAATAATATTAAAAAAGAAATCAAAGTTATAATTATAAAGATAAAGTTACAGTTAGAATTAAATGGGGGACTGGAGCACAGTGGGTAGGGCATTTGCCTTGAACGCGGCTGATCCAGGTTCAATTCCCAGCATCCCATATGGTCCCCTGAGCACCACCAGGAGTAATTCCTGAGTGCACGATACAGGAGTAACCCCTATGCATCACTGGGTGTGACCCAAAAATAAAAAAAAAAGAATTAAATGGGATGAGGAGACCGCTCAATGGGGTGGAGCATATGCTTTGTATGCAGGAGCCCTGGGCTCATTTTCTGATACCACCTACACACTCCAAAACAACCTCCCAGCACCAAGCCAGTAGTAGTTGCTGAGCATCACTGGGGGAATGTCCAAAACCCAAAATTGACATAAACAAGAAGCAGAGGAACAATGAACTGGCTCCAAGGACTGGAGTGTATGCTTTGTAATAGGATACTTGCATTCCACAAGGTCCATCAAGCACCAAGCCAGAAGTAACCCCCAAATACTGCCAAGTGGGCCCCAGGATAAAAGAACAAATAGATAAACCCAATAAGTAAGAAAGAGACACCTTTGGAGGAAGACAGTGAATCTAAATAAAAGTCTGTTGAATAACAGGTTGTTGTTGAAATAAAAACACAAAAACGAAGGTTAAATAGATTTGACACAAAGGG